GAAACCGTGCAACAGTTCGTCTCAAAGCTCCATGAAAACTTCAAAACTCGCGTCCTAAACCACCCAAACCCACTCATTAAAGACACGTTTACCCAAACTACCCCAAACCAACGATACAAAACCCCGACAAGTTTAATGGCAGACCCCCCCTGGAATCACCCGCCTTAAGCAGTTGATTCCCGACATCTCAAACCTCCTGGAAAGTACCTAAACTCTCAAACTCTTCCAAATTAACTCTCTAGGCCAACCGCCACAAACCACTACTTTTCGCGCTCCGTACCCCTACTTTTTTTCTTTCTTCGTTCGCTCTCAGCCCCGAAACCACCAAAACCCCCACCCCAAACCCACCAAGGCTCTTGCAGGCTACCATTAAAGACAAAAAGCCTTAAATGGCTATGTCTGCGGTAAACATCATGTCACAGAATTCGATTCAACTATATACTGACCAAAATAACGTTTACTATCTGAGTCATCCTGAAAAATATTACGCTTCACCTGCTTTCGAATTATAACGCGCTTTTGATTTCCCTTCTCCTGTTTATTTTGGACATGAGTTTTTACTTCACCCATGAATGAATTGCCTGTCATTTTGCTCCTGTTTCGTGTTTGCCCCGTAGGAACTGATTGGAAGGTAGAGAAAAAGTTGGATAATTTATTGTGGGCTGTGCTGTAGTCGATGAAGGAAGTTCAGCAACATTGCTGTGCAGAAACAAATGATACGGAAAAACATTCTGGTTGCACGGATAAATTCAATTTTTTTAACGTCACTCGTTATATTTCCGAGAGAAGCAGCACCTCCCAAAAATTGTGGCCACTTGCTAAAGCCCTACAGTTCTACCAGGCTTCGATTTCAGCCAGGTGGTAATTTCAGGGTTGTGATACGACTCGAGTGGTCCAGAAAATGGGACATCCAGTGGCTGCAGCCTATGAGTGCGGTGCGGCGGTAGACGCAGCAACATCAGTTAATTTGCCTAAGCAAATTCTAGTYYTTTTSCTAGGTTTTTGTGGCTACTGTGGCCATCGAGAATATAAAATAACGTTTTTTGGGGAGCAGCCTTTAGAACTGACGATAAGTTTATCAGCATATGCWGACCGCGTTCTGCACTTGTCAATGCAGCAACCTGTTTTTKTCTCTTCTGTGCAAATGTTTTTGGTGGCTTTTGAACGGTGCTGAGCCCAGATTGATACATGTAGCAAATGTTTGCCTGAAGAATATCGTTATTGACCGCCAGCTTCTGTAATAGTTCAAAGAACTTTATGACCTGCGGCTTATTAAAAGCTGTTGCTTTTGTTGAGAAAGTGGCGTCAGGGACTCTCAATGAGATAGAGGAGTTACGCTCCCTAAGCCCTTTTAGCCAATCCCAACCTGCTATTTCAGTAACTGTTTCGAACACATGAGACACTCCTGCATTTTATGCAAATTTAAATGTTAATTTTCGGACATCAGTGGTTGTAAACCCAAAGTTTTCTTTCTTTGTTCAAAATTCAGCAAATGCTCCACTATTTTTTTAATCAATGACCGAATCAAAGGTGGGTTTGAAACGACCAAAACCAACTTACCTGATTGATTGATACCACTTTTAACTAAATAATATTTTCAAGTGTTCAAATAACGCAAACGGACAAGCTCTAGTGTTTTAGTGATTAAATACGCCACCGAGTGAGCCGATGTTTGAAACTGGATTATGTGTGTGAGGCGCGTATATTTGAACTGATTTGGTTACTATGTTATATCACTTGCGTATGTCATATTAAGCAGAATTTCCATACATTTATGTCGGTTACAATAATTTTCCTTGTGATGTTTTAAATCTTGAAATTGTCTTTTTTCCATATTGAAACAGGTGAAGCATGTAAAAGTTGAAATATATCTTCTCGATGTACGTGAAACCTAATATGCTCTTTACCTGCCTCTACAGGAACCATCAACTTTTTGTTCTCTTCAATAATCATTACTTCACACCTGCGTAAGCGCTGATACCTAGTCCTCAGGTTTTTTATTTACCACTTTGCCTTTAAATGGTTTAACATTTTCAATTAGTTTCAAGTATTGTTTTTTGATAACGGTTCATGCATATTGTTTTACAGAAAAATCGGTAACACTTGATAACCACATAAATACAAAGTCAATATAAGGAAAAGACAATAACCCAATAGGGATAGAGCCCAACAACGAACTGAAAACAATCGAGAGTTAGCAATAAGGCACCGCAAATGGATGCTGGTTGGCTACACGAATTTCGCCATACGCACAGAGCCAATTTGATTTAAAATCAAAGTGCCCAGAGATATAATACCAGTTTGTACAGGGTTAGCCATTTTATGCTTGGTAAAGTAAAGTGAAAAAAACATACGCAAAATATTCAGATGGAAAAACAATATAATTTAAATGCCCTCCATGGGACCTCCTACAGGCTTCAATCCTTTTAGGGTAATTTTGAATGACTTTTCGGCACATTACCGGTAATATATCGGTCATAACTTCACAGATATGGGCTTTTAGTTGCTCAAGAGCATGAGGATTGTTGGCGTAAACACGATAATTTGCATAGCCCCACAAAAAAAAATCTAACGGTGTTCAGTCGCAATCTCGAAATTACGCGTCCTGGAAATTTCTCTTGCAATAGGGCTCTAACTACCGGTGTTGTGTGACTCGTTGCCCCATCCTGCTGGAACCACATGTATTCCACATGATAACCTTCAATTTCTCTCCAAAAATAATCTGTTAACATGCGTCCATAGCGCTCAGAATTGACTGTTATGGCTCTTCATTGATCGTTTTGAAAAAAAATACTGGTCAATAACACCACAGGACCATACTGCACACCATACGGTCACTTTTTCAGGATGCAAACGCCTTTCTGCGATTACCTGAGGATTTTGAGAGCCCCATATACGGCTGTTCTGTTTATTCACGTAACCACCGAGCGAAAAATGAGCCTCATCGCTGAAGAAAATTAGGTTCGAAAAATCATAATTAACGGCTTGCTGTTCAATAACCCAATTTGCGTATGTTTTGCGTTGGCCATGGTCTTGAGGCTTAAGTTCTCGAGTCAGTTGGACTTTGTACGGATGGAGCTTCAAATCCAATTTCAAAATTCGCCATTATGAGCCGTAAGACAAACCCAAATGTTGAGCACGTCGGGGAATCTACGAATTCGGGTCTTCTTCCACACTTTGAGCAACAACAGCGATATTTTCAGCTGAACGAATGTTGCTATGATGCACAGGCCTTACAATATCAGTAACAAATCCAGTCTCTTCAAGTTTTTCTATTGTGTGCGAAACTGTTTGCTCTGTGGTCATCAATCATGTCGACCGTAATCTGCTCGTAAAGTCCTAAAGGTTGATACAGCAGAATCACCATTTAATTGTGCAGTAGTAAAATGGCTTGTGTGAACGCCAGCATTTGAACCAATGTATCGCTATCAGTCGCGCTTCTTTTTGAGGTGTTTCTCGGCGGTAATCAACCACTGAACGCCACAGAAGCGCTGCTAAATCGGCAATTGCGCCCGTGTGAATAGCTCCATATAAATGTACCTTCAAAACGCGCTTCTCAGCAGCGCCACTGAGAAGCGCTGCAGAGTGGCCCGTGTGAGACGGCTCTTAGAGCCATTTCGAATTAAGTCATAGTTGTGGCTACATCTCTACCTATCTGCCAACTTTTTTCACCAGAAAATCTCCATAATCATCATTCTGTGATGATGATATTGATGATCATTCTGTGATATGAGATTTAATGATTTTTGTAAACATTAAACTTACATTGTGAGTTCAGATTATGAAGTGCATTTTCATATGAAAAAACTCTAGTAATTAGTACAAACAGTTGCATCAAAAGTTGAATTTCGAAAACTTAAATTTTTCCGAACTGATAATAAATTAATACTTCGATTAGTAGAATGGTTTTTCTTTTATTTGCTATTATTAGTTTCACCTTTGGCCTTTATTGATTCACGCATACAGTAGGTAGTTAATTTCATGCTTTGTTCGCTGTGTGCGGAGTTTGAAAATCTTTTAACCATTTCATAGAAGACATTTTATATGATACGTAATAACTTTATCTGTCAGTTGTTGCTAAAACGTAACCATATGTGAACGTTATTAGCCTCACTAAGCCTATTAGTTTGTCAAAATTGTGACAAAAATTATTTGAACTAGAGTATCAAAGATGAAACATGGCTGCATTAAACTGTTTTAACGAAATAGCACATTAATATACATATTAACCCAAAGCTTTAATTAGATAGAACTGGTATTTTTACTTACAATTGCTCCTGCAAAACAGATCATTAGACACAAAAGCCTCACCATGTTTCTATTTACAAGCATCTCACAATTTGCAGCTGCTTTATTATGACCACTGAATTTACTAAATTGTAAAAATAAAAGAGCCTACATGCTACTTTGAAATTCTATTCAACAACAGTTTAATGTTAATTCGTTTAAAGAGATAAGATGCTTATCAAAATGTTAATTATAGTGGTACTTTAGGCAAACTGGGACATAATTTATTTGGTAGCAGCAGTAAATTACTCGTATATTTTTGATTTCATGGAGTGACGAATGTAGATATAATTAATCCTAATAGTTCATTTAAAAAAGGAAGTTTTAGTGCAAAATTGTATCTCAACGCACTGTTCTTTATTCTTCGATTAGCAATACATTTTTGTCAGGTTAGAAAATATCTAGAAGGTCAACTTAAATAGATCATACAGAAGGCAAAGTCTCAATATATTTGTGGTCGATCGCTAAAGTGCCAAGAATTGACAGCGCAATGGTTTTAGGTCATACGAGTATTTATCAAATTAGGGCACGAAGTGCATTTTTCCCACACTGACGCAATTTAGCCAACTGATAAGGAGCGGACTTCGATTAACACTGAAGTAGATACTAGGGCTGGGAATCAAACTTGAATAATTCGAGTATTCGAATATCCAAAAAGCGAATAATTATATCTAGCCATAACTCGAATATTCGAACATTCGAATACTCGAATACTCGAATACTCGAATACTCGAATACACCAACATTATCAAACTTACAAGGTGCAATTATCTTTATGTGCACTTTGTATACTTTTATGAAAGACGTAAGTAAACAATGCAACCAATAGATTCTAAACGACCACCCGCACGGGTATAAAATCCGCGCGGAGAAAGTTTGATATACAGGGTGATTCACGGTCGATGGCGTATTAAACGTTTAAGGAGAATGCGGTGCCCGATCTATCTGCAAGTTGGTACAACGAAGTCATCTGATATGCTCCATCGCCCTCAAATATTTTCGGAAATGCGAGGGTGCCGCTTATACCGAAAAGTACATACAACTTTGATATTTTAAATGAGACACCCTGTATATTATTGGACCGTTAGATTGGCTATATCGATACGATTATGCTTGCATAACGATTCCTATATCTATCTAAAGCGGTTTTCGAAATATTAATTAAAATTCCTTATTTTTAATCAAAACGTAGCCTCAAGGAATCTTGTATTACAACGCGATTTCGATACCTGGAAATTAAAAATTTTGGTACTGGGTTAGAAAAACCCTATGCTCGAACCAGGAGTACAGGAATTTGCTCCAAATTATACAGGATGTCTTCAAAACACTGACCTTTCGGCTAGAGATAAAAACTGCTCCAATTACATTTTTTCAAATAGAACACCCTGTATATTAGTTCAAATACAGGAAGACCGTTAAATTTCCTTTGAAACGATATATCATGTTTCCTAATGCCTAAAGCGTCAAATTTCTGAATTAAATGGACATTTTTGCCAAAATTCGATTATGTCGACGTATTTATCAAAATAGTCATGAAACGTCATAATAGTTGAAGATTTTGCAATCCTCCAACCCAACTGTCAGCTGAGTTATAGAAACAGCTTCTGTACGCTTTTTATACAAAATGGAGAGAAACCAATCAATTTGATTCATGTCGACGGCAAATAAATATAAATATTGCAGTAAAATCGATTGCGTCTCGCCGCGGGACTGGTCTGGATAGCAGTGCCTGCGTTCCGACGTTCCGTTAAACTTCAGACTCTCGATGTCGACGCGCTAGTAAACCCTTAAACATGATATACCAAATAATCAGTCTCTGCGATGGACGTAGCAGCTGCTGCTTATGTCAGACATGCGTCAGACGCATGCATTAATCGCACAAGCGAACCCAGGCCTTTAGGTCACACTCGATATGAGAGCTACTCCAAAGACGTAAAGTGGGATTTTAAATTTAGGATGTGCTTTCCTCTGAGTGTTAAAATTACGTATGTGATTAGTGTTATTATTAGGTATGTGAACTGAAATCTAACTTTTGTTTGTCATGATCACATAGGTGTTTCGACTAGCTATATAAAAAGGCAAAAAATTAAGTAACATCTAATGACTAAAGTTTCATTTACTGGCGAAACACCAGAAAATATTTAAAGGCACGAACAGACAGAGCCCCTTCAGTTACCGGTATTTTGCGGTGGTATCAAAGAAATGTTCGGGCAGTTGTTGCAACAGATCTTTGCAAGTCTGGACGCGAATGCAAACACATTCTTGGTATGCTTAAGGCTTGTGTGAACTGATGGTACGGAATCGGGTTTCGTGGTGATGATACGCTGCGCTTTCTGTTCGTCCAACATCGTATTTTCCTTACGCAACAAACAATGTTACGCGACGGTGTTCCGTTACTGTGTTCTGTTTGGTATGTCTGTACTCGCCTTCATCCTTTATATTGAATTGTTGAACCTAAAACCGTGTTCAAGAAGTTTCGCATCAACACGCGGGTAAGATATGGATAAAGTCCAGACAATATCTCCCCGCCCCGACTGAGCTGGCAAATTGCCCGAAAGGAGCAGAGCCATCTACTGGACAAAAAAATTAGCTTGTTTTATGTTGGTGGAAAGCATTTTTACTCTTATAATTACTGAAACCGCTGAAAATAATCCCCCATAATTACTGCATAGCTGCGTAAGAACAATTAAATTAAGGAACAAATATTAAAAGTGTTAAAGTACTTTGTTGGGGGGATCAAGTTGTAACTAACCTGATTTGGTTCGTAGGACCAAATGTTGGGGGTGGCACATTCCTGAGATTGGACAAATCCAGTTCGTGGGACCAAAATGTACTGGTCTCATTCGGATAAATAATTAGGAATGCCAGACACGAATAAATGGGGAAAATTTCTACTCTTCGAAGGACCAATGTGTGTGGGGTGCCAATGTTTGGTGGGTATCGTTGGGAGCAGTTGCAGGAGTAAATAAAATCTGCCAATTTTGTATCTGCCTGCCTAACTTGCACTGGTGGCACCTTTATTTTGCCACTTTTTCCAATTGGCCTGGGCAGTATGTTCTTTGAAATGGGCTGAGTAGCGTAACTCTAATTAAGAGGGGAACTGTTTCCAATTAGTTCACTTGAGGCACTTACACTTACTGATTTGATTGGTTCGGGGGAAAACGTTTTGCGGGGGGGTTCGCTTCAAGACTCTGATTTGTACTGTTTGAGTTGAGGTGAAGAACTACGGTTTGGGGTTTGAGACACTTCTATTGCAGAGTCTGCGATGCGATGTGTACTGTTTTACTTGAGGCAAAACACTTCCGATGTGTACGACTTGAGGTAAACCGAAAAACTGTGATCTCTGGTCACTTTTGTCGACTGAGGTAGGGAGGAAATCAGGAAAGTGCAGAGTGAGGGAAACAGGGTATATTCCCACGCTCTGTGCTCGGCTGTGTTGGGTGGTCGCTTCAAGGAATCACACCTTCAATAGTGAAAAGGGAAGGCGAGCACAGTTGTGTGTTTGCTCAATAGTCAATGAATGCCCTTTGTAGTAGACATTAGGTATATCTAGCAC